CAATTCCTCAGGATAAAATATGCGGGAACCCTCCTTCTCCTTTGAGAAACCCAATGCTCCACCTACCCGGCCATTCCCACAAACTTTGTGCTCGGTGTTTCCCGTACTTCTCTCGGCCCTTGTGATATCTCCTCTAAAGCCTTTATTTCGGGGGGGGGGGGCGGGGGGTTGGGGGGCAAATCACACATCACAGTAAGAGTAGAAACCGGACCAGAGATCATTGAGGGAACACAGTCACCGGATGATGGCCGGCATGGGCCGGCATGGGCCGGGAGCAACGATGCCGGTTTCAGTCGCTCCGCCGGAGTCACTGATAGAAGCGTCGCAATGCCTTTATAATGCCGTCGCGGGTCCCCTTGATGAACACGGATCTCTACAAACAACAGCGCGCCGAAACTAAATTTGACGATCTGCGTACAATCACCTGACTGCGCTCATCTGAACCTAGCGAAAGATAGCAGCAGCCACAATGCCTGCCATTCTCGAGAACTCGGTTGCGACAGAGGTGCCTGGCCCTCTGTCCAAGGCTGCTTCTAAGCAGCTCGATGCTTTCTTCGATGCTCGCGCAATTCACTTTGTAGTGGATTATGAGAAGAGTTCAGGGAACTAGTAAGCAACGGCACGGCCCTCAGGTCGCACGGCGTCGCATCACTGACATTGCCCAGCATCGTGGATGTGGATGGCAATCGCTACCTGGATGTGTACGCCCAGATCGCATCCATCCCCGTGGGGTACAACAATGCGGCTCTCGTGGCCGCAGCCAAGTCGCCCGAGATGATCTCTGCATTGGTCAACCGTCCGGCCATTGGCAATTTCCCCTCCAGCAACTGGGCGGAGCTGCTGAAGCAGGGTCTCTTCAGGGCGGCGCCTGCGGGACTTGACAATATATTCACAGCACAGTCGGGGTCCGAGGCCAACGAACTCGCCTACAAGGCGTGTTTCATGCTATACCGCCGCAAAGAGCGCGGCGAGGGCGTTGAATGGACAGCAGAGGAGACCAGCTCGTGCCTCAACAATGCGAAGCCTGGATCGCCCGATCTCGCCATCATGAGCTTTGCCAACTCCTTCCACGGCCGGGGCTTCGGCAGCCTTTCCACCACACGCTCCAAGGCGGTGCACAAGCTCGACGTGCCGTCATTCAACTGGCCGCAGGCGCCCTTTCCGGTGCGCAAGTACCCGCTTGAGGCTCACGTCGAGGAGAATGCGGCCGAGGAGCAGAGGTGCCTGCGTGAGGTCGAGAGGCTCATCACGTCATGGCACTGCCCCGTGGCCGGCTTGATCACGGAGCCGATCCAGAGCGAGGGTGGCGACAACCATGCGTCGCCCGCCTTCTTCCAGGGGCTCCGCGACATCACCAAGAAGCACGGCGTCGTCATGATCGTGGACGAGGTACAGACTGGTTTCGGCGCGACGGGCAGGTTCTGGGGCCATGAGCACTGGAACCTGACTTCGCCACCGGACATTGTGACCTTCTCCAAGAAGGCCCAGACGGCCGGGTACTTCTTCGGCGACCGCATGCTGGTGCCGGACAAGGCCTACCGCCAATTTAACACGTGGATGGGTGACCCGGCCCGTGTCATCATGTGCAAGGCTGTCATCGAGGAGATTCTCGACAACAAGCTGGTCGAGCAATGCGTACGTGCCGAGCCGAGCCGGTTGAGAGCTGGCCCGCCTGTAAGGATATGATTTTGCTGACGTTGGAACAGGCACGCGTGGGCGACCTTCTCTACGCCGAGATCAGCAAACTCGCAGAGAGACATCCTGAGCAGGTGCAAAATCTTCGAGGCAAGGGACAAGGGTAAGTCAATGTCCTCTCCCCAGCGTGAGCAAGAGCACAGTGCATCATTCAATGGACGCTGACCAAGATGCTCTCGCAGCACGTTTATCGCCTTTGACACTCCTCAGCCTGCCGAGCTGGTGCGTGCGATGAAGCAGATTGGTGTCAACATTGGTACCTGCGGTGTGAGGACGGTCAGGTTGCGACCGATGCTGGTGTTCGAGGAGGCGCACGTGTCGACGCTGATCTCGGCATTCGACAAGGTGTTGAGCGCGTTGTAGTGGATGACCAAAGAAGGGTTGGTGGGGGCGCTGGTGAAGTCGCTGAGGCGAGGATTGTGCATGGGTAGGAATGGCGTCATATTGGATAGCGGGTGCTTTTCTGTCGGGTTGCTCCAGGTGTCCAATCAGGGCCTGAATTGAACGATGACAACAGTCCCCAGTTGCAGTGAAGCACCGCCGCCATCGAACCTATCGAACCTTGTACGGATCTGAACCACATGCTACCTCGTACTTAGGTGTAGGTCAAAGTGCTGGACAGAGAGCAACGTCTTCCAGGCTGGAGGACTTGTCTCATGGCCATCTCTGAGCCCGAGAGGAACTCTTCAGGTACCTACCTGCTTACCTACCAAGACGGACACGTAACCCCCGCCGGAGCACAGGTACGTGTCCGCAGGCGCCTACGGTCTATAGTTGAACCGCTTTTCCACTTAGTCATCGCGCGCAACCCGGCTGTCGTGTCCTTCCCTGCCGGGAGCCGTGTATAGTGGAGGCCATCGGGCTTGTGGTGTTGCCGACCGATAGGTCTGGCCCCTAAAGTTAGGGATCTGATGCCGTGGTTGTTCCGTCCGGCTGTGCGCCCCGGAGCCTAGTGTTGAACACTGAGCTCTGACCTAATTACAAGTCTGCCTTTTATGACACTTTGTTAGCCCCACGGCTCTCCCCTTGCCCATCCTTCGCACCCAGCAGCCACTCGACGAAAAATTGACACACGTTCTTCGCCATGCCTCTCACTATTCAGCTTCCCGAAGAGTTCAGGTTCGCGCGTTCCCATGGCACCGCAGGATACTGTATCTGTTTGCCAGTATTGCCTACTTTGAATCGTTGCTAACAAGTGGCTTGGCTAGCTACGTCCTTCTCGTGGCTACGTCAACCTTCTTCGTCAACACCCAGCATGTTATCCTCACCAGCAAATTCCGCAAGCTGAGCGGTCTGAAGTACCCCATCGCCTACGCCTCAAACGAGCAGGCCGACAAGGACCGCAAGGCCTACATGTTCAACTGCGGTTCGTCACCATCTTCCCATTGTTTGCCCTGCAGACCCAACATTGCGTGTCCACTGCCTCACGATTTACTGACCTGTGACCTGCGCGCTCGCAGCCCAGCGCGCCCACGCCAACTTCACTGAGAACCACACCTCATTCCTTGGCGCTCTACTCATTGCCGGTCTGCGCTACCCCTTGGCCGCCGCCGTCCTGGGTGCCGGCTGGACCATTTGTCGCTCCCTCTACGCGTTCGGCTACGCCAGCGAGCGGGGGCCTGCCGGCCGTATGATGTACGTTCTAACGCCCCGCCCCCTTACTCCTGAACTCTCTCCATGCAGGGACTTGGACAGCGCGACAGCGGAAACCACTCCTTTACTGACCCATCTGCCATAACAAAGTGGTTCCATCGGTTCTTTCGTCTTCGACAGCACCCTGAAGCTTACCGCCCTGTACGCCTCGGTGGCCCTGGTCATGGGCTGGTAGAGCATGTCTGTAGTAACAATCCTCATCCATTGGGCCATCTCATCTGGTCGTCTTCTCGTGATTGCCCGTACTCGTCGCCTTGTGTTTTCCCTCGCACCTTTGTCATCACCGGCGCTTCACCCGGCGAAGTTCTGGGTTGCTGAAAACCCCACCTGCCGGCGGCGTCATTGAGTGTTGCTGGTTCGAACGCTCGATCCCGTTGTTGCCAAGCAAGTAGTCTCCAAGGTACTTCATAGCGTTGAACATCTCCTCGCCCGTAGGCACGATATTCTCTTTCGGGAGTAGAAAACCGTAGCTCCCCATGTCTCTCAGCTTGATCTGATAGCTGAAGTGTGCGCGCATCTCATGATAAAACCAATCGATGGCCGAGCCCCCGCCCACCTCGACGCGGGACGAGCGGCCCATGTCGCCTCCGCCTGCCACAACCCCTTCACATGCCGACGTGACCGAGTAGGCCTCGCCGCTCGATAGCCGAATGGCCTTGGCAAGCCCGACAGCCAGCTCCTCAAGGTTCTCAAGGTTGGGAGGATCGGTATCGCAGGTGTAAGAGAAAGGATACATGACCTGCTGTGAATACGAATGCAGGTCAATCAAACCCACAAATTCGACGTTGTTGTTGGTCGTCTCATTGCGCGCCCAATTCGCCAGCGCTACCGCCTCCGCGGCCTCCCAGGGTTTCGCGCCTCCATAGCTTTCGGAGCAAGGCTCACCGTTGGATCCAGCACCGTCCCACTCGAAGCCGAATGCGCGATCCAAGTCAAGGCCCTGGCAAAACGACACATCGGTTCCCTGTCTAGTCTTGCGCCACAGACGATCTACCTGCCAGCTGTATTCCACGCCATCAGGGTTCAGGACTGGAACGAAGACGACATCAAAATGCTCGAGCAACTTAGTGATCATGGGATCACGTCCATAGCTGGTCACAAATGACCAGGCCACATAGTTGACGGTGGTCGTTGAAATCCATTCCCGCGCGTGCATGCCACCTGTGACGAGCAGTGTCTTCCTCTTTGGTGCTGGTTCGCCGGGCTTGTAAACCCCGACCTTGAGAGCCGGAATATCGCGCCCCTCGTATGACAGACCGACGTTGACCATTCTTGCGATCGCAGGGAACATAGCCTCGAGGAGTCGCATCCAAGGCACAATGACCTGCCTCGCGAGTTAGTGATTCGTTCGCCCGGTCGAGTAGCTTGCGAGAGAATCATACAGAGAGGGGTCGATAGTCACGGAAGAAGACGGTATCGCTGTCAGCCTGAGGGCGCAGAAGACCAGACCCCTCGTCCCAGGGCATGTATTCATGGTGTTGTACCACTGGTGTGGAGGGGCGTGACCCGTGAATCGCCGCAGAGACATCGGGTATGAGCACCAAGTAGGAATCGCGTAGGGATTTAGGTAGTACACCAAGCAGAGTCCCAATTCTGTCTTTGCGTAGCCTGATATCGACAAAATCCTCCGTGAATGCCCAAATGTCGAGAAACAAGGTGGAGGCTGACTGAGCCATGGCAGCTTCTTCCTCAGGCGCGGTTAGGTTGAAGCGTAGCACAACTTCGTCCGTATAGCGCTTCGGGGTCGGGACGCCATGGCGTATTTCGGTCTTGGAAGGATATGGACCAAAGAAGAGTTCGACCGCAACGTCGCGGACCCAGGAGAGGAAGGGCAGTCGTCGATGTGTCGGGTTGTGCAGGTGGTTTGCATCGTCGTGGGTTACGAGAGGCCCAGTGCCGATGGCGGAGGCGCCTGGTTGCAAGATAGCAATACTGGCCAAGCCAGCAATTACTTGAAAGCGCATTTGGAGGAATGAGGAGCAAGCCCAATCAGCTGATTGTTGAAAATCAGAGTTCGCATCGAGAACTACGGCAAGGTACGTGATGCTGGGATTGACGACGATGCTTTGTGGTTGGAAGCGTATCGCTAGGATTGACTGTGTGCCATGCAGCTATGTAACCAGGTAAGGTGGGCAGCTCCCACCAGCCTAGCTGATTGTCGCAGCCTGGTGGTGCATCAGCCGGGGCCGCACCTCTACCAAACTTCGGAGTTCCCATTGGACAGGCCCCGGTACCTCCCTGTACTACATGTACGTACAGAGGGGTAAGGCTCACGGATGCTCTGGGCTTTCCTGGGTAGGGGACTTGCTGCATGCTACCTAGGTACCTACCTAGGTAGGTACCTTAGGTAGGAAGGAACGTTTGGGAAGAACTCAGGTGCCTAATCGAGGTACCTTACCTAGGTACCTAGGTAGATACCTGGGTACCTTATCCATAGATACCTCCCCGCCTCCTAACTGAGCGCCGTAAGTACCTCGCTCTAGAGTCCACAGGCTGCTGGGGTACTTCCTCGCATGCTCGCTCAGCCAGGCTGGCAGTGTGCATCCGTCTCGAGCCCCCCCTTGAAATGTCCTTGCCATCTCATCCGGATGTGAGTTCAGTCAAGGTCCTGCACGCCAGACCTGCGGTTTCTGTTACCTCCAACCCTCTCGACCTAGCCCATGTGCCTTTCGCATGCTGTCAATTCATTCCTCCATCGACCACAGCTCGCATCAATGTACCACAAGGTGTCGGCGGCGCTGACATCGCCCTGAATTGTATCCTCGACCCGGCATCGCCAATTTCAACAGACAGGGGCGTGGGCGTGACCCTCAACGTCAACAGTTTGATAGCACCTTGTTATCCGGGTCGACAACGTGCCCTCCTCCCTCGCCTCCAGAGCCATCCCTGGCAAACCATGCCCCATCGCACCCATGCCTTTTCTACGCCGTCACGGCAACATGGCCAGCGAATCCGACATGAGACGGCTTTCGGCCTTGCCTGACACCTCCATACCTCAGCTATCGCTGCCGCGCTTCACCGAGTCCGAATCTACAACCTCCGCCATTGCCGCCACGAGCATCGCTTCCACACCCCCCGCCCCGATACCAGAACCAACAACGACACCCTTAGAGCCAACACGCTCAAGCTCTCTCGACCACGCAACGTCACAAGCAAGTACTGACGATGAAGATTCCATCTCTCGCCCTGGGACCCCACCAATCCAAGACGAGACCCCAAAGCATCGCCGCTTCTCCATCCTAAGGTTTCGCAACGCCTCCGACTCTCAGCTGTCGCTCAGAGCCAAGCAGCAGGCCGAGAAGCCTCCGCCGATGCCCCGGCGTATGTGAAGACCTGATCATGTTGTGAAACATCGTGCTGACGCAAAGTAAGCCCCCGAAATTATCACCACGGCGCCTGTACTCGAGATACCTGTTCCCCAGAAGAAGCAGTCCCGTATGCGTCTCGCCGATCGCTTTCGGAAATCAGGCGAAATACCCAGAGCAAGCGAAGAGAACATGACAAGAGCACACACCTGGAAGAACAGGAGGACCCCCGGACTGGAAGAGCTCGCTGCGAGGAGCCGACCAACTCTGGTGACATTTGAAGAACCGGTTTCCAAGACTTCTTCTTCGCGGACACTACAAACTGCTGAAGAAGGCGAGTCTCAGGGCTTGCCTGTCACCCTTCACCGCGCCTCCGAATCTTCTCGATCAGACGTCAGTTCGGCACACACCGCAAACCCTGCAGAGACGACACCGACAAAGCTTTCAGCTCCGCATCCAACAAACTTCTTCCGTTTGCCGCGCAGGAAGAATAAATCGGCTGCGCCGCTCTTTGACCTTTCCCATCTGCCACAGAAAAGCAAGCCGATCAATGGCGATTACGCTGCCTCTTCGAGCTCCATGCTCGGTGTGTCTCAACCTGGAGAGGGCAACTCCCGACCGCATAACCCATCGAGGCCTTCCTCCAGCTACAGCGCAAATGCAGATTCGGTTGTATCATGGTCAGCGGCTGATGTGGCAACCAAAGCTGCAGTATCGCCTGCCACAGCCCTCTTCCGCCCGGGCTCCATACACTCGGGACGATCCTCACCAACGCGAGCGCGACTGCAACTGCGTGGTAGATCATCCACGATGAGCTCTCTAGGACGAGATTCTATGGATGATTTCCTGAATCCAGGCACGACCCGCACATCATCATCCACCGGACGAAAAAGCCTGGGTGACCTTTTTGGACTGAACAGGTTGCGACAGAATTCGGAGCTCGCAAGCGGGCGCCCAGGTAACCTCACTCCGGCAACCCCTGGCTCGAGCACCTCCAAGAACAACTCTTTCCAAATCGCTCGTGAGCCGGTGGCTTTACCGGAACGACGGGAGGATGAAACTGCGGCCAAATACCTCGCACGTATCGAGCAGCTGCTCAGTCGGGGCGTCATAGCCAGTGCGCTGTCTCGCGGCACAGATCCATTCTTTGCCACAGTTTTGCGGAGTTACATGCGCCGCTTCAGCTTTTTCGGGGACCCCATGGACATGGCTATTCGTAAACTACTTATGGAAGCAGAACTGCCCAAGGAAACCCAGCAGATCGACCGATGTCTAGAAGCCTTCGCGAATCGATACCACGAATGCAACCCAGGGATATACTCTTCACCGGACCAGGCTTATTTCATCGCATTTTCCCTCTTGATTCTTCACACAGACGTTTTCAACAAGAACAACAAGTACAAGATGCAACAAAACGACTACATCAAGAACACACGGGGTGAAGGTGTTTCCGAGTCTATCCTTCGGTGCTTTTATGATAATATCACCTACACCCCTTTCATCTACCTGGAGGATGACGTCGATTTGCACGGTGATCGACAAAAGGGGAGGCGACGGACCATTTTCGCAGGCGGCACTCCAGACACAGCAATCAAGAAGTCTTCCAAGGAACCACTGGATCCTTATACGCTCATCATTGACGGGAAGCTGGACGTCCTACGGCCAAGCCTGAAGGATGTTATGGAGTTGGACGACAACTACAACTACCTCGGAACAGCTAAAAACCTGAATGTGAGGGAGCTGCAGAGAACATTTTTCCGGACTGGTGTCTTGCAAATTGTATCGGCAAGGTCTCGACCAGATGCCTTCCGAGATGAGAAGAGCACTACCAACCCTGATACTGCCCCCCAAGGCGTAGTCGACATCAAGATTACCAAGGTTGGTCTACTGTGGCGGAAAGACACCAAGAAGAAGAAAACGAGATCTCCGTGGCAAGAATGGGGAGCTATCCTTACGGGCGCCCAACTATATTTCTTTCGGAATACGGCTTGGGTGAAGAGCCTTATGCACCAATACGACACACACGTCAAACAAGGCTACTACGGCGAACCAATCACATTCAAGCCACAGTTGACTGACTTCAAACCGGATGCCTTCATGCCAATCAAGGAGGCAGTTGCGCTTGTCGACTCAACGTACAAGAAGCACAAAAACGCTTTCAAGTACGCGAGGCCAGGTGCTTTCGTTGAGGAGGTTCTTTTGGCAGACAATGAGGACGAGATGAATGACTGGCTGGCGAAACTCAACTACGCTGCTGCGTTCATGACGTCGGGTGTCAGAATGCGAGGCGTCGTCGGTGGCAATTATGAGGGTCAAAGCCGCCGCGGCATTCGAAGACTTGACAGCTCGAATAACGCCCAGGTGGTTCAGACCCCAACTGGTGAGGTCAGCATCGTGCGGGGCAAGATTGATCACAAGGAAGCCGAGTCTATTCTTGCACAACGACACGAGACTATGGCCAGAACTGTGGAGAAGGCGGATGAGGATATCTCGGCCAAGGAAAAAGAGCTGGAAGAAGACTTGAGGAATGCGCGACACTTGCAGATTCTTTCTCCCATCCAGAGCAAGTCTCGCGAAGAGCTTTTGCGAGAGGCTGCGCGTATGGATGTGAAAATCAAGTGGATCAGGATGGAAATTTGGAGGATCAGATGTCACCGGGATGTCTTGAGCAGGGATCTTGAGGAAGAAGGCCTCCTGGCAGATATGTCGCCTGCGAAAAGCGGCTCGCGAGGAACGGAAGCGCAAGATGTGTCGCTTGACATGGACAAGCCCCTTCCACCTCAGCCAGATGATCGAGATTCGCTCTCGCTGGAAAACGGCCATATTGGCAGCAAGGCTCAGCAACACCAGAATTCCGGTTTTCAACCGGAAGAGCCTGATTTCGATTCGCCGACCACAGAATATTTCCAGACACCCCCAACAAGTGCCACTTTCCAGTCACATAGGCACCAGAGGTCTTGGGACTCGAATTTGTCGGCGTCGGAAGAGCCTTTACGACGTGCCCGGTCTGAGTCTCAAGCTGCGGCTTCGTCTGTGCCAATTCAGTCCGGCAGAGGGAGCACTAAACCGCCTTCCACACCACAGGGCTCCCGCAGCCAGGTTACTGAGAACAGCATAGACCAGCATGCAGACGATGTCGACGCTGATGAACGCGACTTGCTCGAACAGGCTGGGCTCCTAGAGTCGCCATCATCTCGACACACTTTGGCTGGAGTTCGCACGGGATCTATCTCTGAAACTGGCGATCTATCGGAGCAACGTGATACCCCCGGGAATGCCGAAAAGGCCGACAGGAACAAAATACGTCGTAGCCTGCAGAGGACCCTGAGGGAGAGCGCTGGTCACTTATCTCATCACAGGAGTAGAAAGGGCAAGGATTCAGCTTCGAGTGGAATCTCCGAAGACACGATCAGAGACGATATTCTCAGTAGAGGGTCTGGTAGTTTTGTGGTGCATGGAAAGAAAGCATCAGTCATCAACTTTGGTGAGGGTCTGCAACATATGCCGACAGAAGAAAGGTTGAGGCAAAAGATGCAGGCGCAGCGCGAAGAGCCTGTATCTCCGGCAAGCCTAGAAGAGGAGGAAGACTACCATGATGCCCTTGGCCAACAGCCGACCATGAAGGAACGCCGCGAGTCGACAGCCAGCGCCAGTACTGCGACGGCAAGGAGTTTTCGCGAACTGCACCGTAAATACTCTACCGCGCAGGCTCATAAGACACCATCGCATGGAGGCAAGCTTTCAGTGCCATCTGACACGGAGAGTGAGCGTGCGCTAAGCATTTCGGAAGGTCGGCGTACACCGCTCCCGGCGATTGAGACTCAGTTTGGAGACGAAGAGGAGGCCGAGGCTGGAGAGCTGCAGATGGACGAAGATCGGTCACCGTTGTCTGGGCCAACCGCGTCGAGACTCGTGTCGCCGAAGAGTCCTGCAGCCATGTCAACAGCGTCTCCCTTGGAAGAGCATGCCGGCAAGAGCGCCGACTCTCAACAGCGACAGAAGCTGTCAGGTCCGCATGTCCAGTCGGTCAAGGCTTAGAGGACCCAAATGCGCCGCAATTCATGGAACATCAGACAGCGCCTGAAGCGTGTCTCTCCGGACCTCAATGGTCTGCTAGACACCGTCATCATGCGCAGAAGCAGCGACCTGGCCGGCAGCGCGACCCCGATCTTACATGCCGGGTTTCAAGCTCGTGAAGATATTCGACACGTTGAGGCCGATTGGCCCATTGTTCTGAGGAGGAGGAGTCAGGCAGCGCAACTGTGCCAAAAGTTGACCATGAGTACGAATGACTTGAAGGAGCGGATGCCTTGGCAAGGGGAGCAAAAGCATTTAAGACTTCGAGAGGGCGGAACCAAGGTACGGCAGAGTTACGGAAACATGGGACAGGCTTAGCTGTGTGCAATTTATGTAATATCTATATGCATACTGTTGGCGAGTCTGCACAAAAGCGACACATCCGAACTTAAGAGT